ACTTTTGAAATATTAAAAATGTAGTTCTAAAATATTAATCTACAATATATTATATTCACAAAATGCTAAGACAAGTGTTAATGTTTTAATTATTGATATTGGTATTGGTATTATCTGGTATCACAACGGACCAATGTTGCCTAAGCATTTTGAATGTCAGATCAGTAAGTATTGACTTGATAAGTATTGATCATTGGATCACGCAAACCTATCTACTTACCTAAAGCACTAACAATACCTATAAACATTTATATATTATATAAACCATATTTTAAAAAGTTATATTGTTTTTATAAAATAACTTTTAAAAATTTATTGCCAATAGTTTAGTTACTAATTAAATAATACATATTTTAAAAAAATTTTATAGTTTTTGAAAAATTATTTTATTTAAACCAATATTTCGATTATATTCTATAGTCATCTTCAGGGTACTTTATCTTCAGATAGTTCTTCTTTTAATAATTTAAAGCAATTGAAGAAAAATAGTTTAACAAATACAAATACAAAAGGAACTGTGAGAAGACCATAGCATATACAAAAATGTACTGTTGAACTGGGGACTTTATAAAAACGTACTTTTTTTTTGAAAATAACAAACAAGCGACAGAATTGTGAATTTTTTTTAAAGTAAAGATGAAGTAAATCTTTTCATAGTTTCAAATCCAGGTTTTTTGTTTATAAAGATTGCATCTTTTGCCTTTATTTTCCATTTCAGAACTTTATTCTACTCTCCGAGTATGTGATTTAAATAAGTCGTTTGTAGAGAACATACCATACGAAAACCATATATAGCTTAGTTTAATGTCTCTGCCGTTTGCCTCGAACATATTTAAGCTGAGGATCATATACTAACAATATCCATCCAGGCAGAATTTTTACTTCAAACTTCCTTATACTTTGTTCCCATACACATTTTATTTTACTAAATTCTCTTAAACTTTAATATCTGTTCTTAGTGGTAGAGGCAGGATTGTGCGAAGAACCGGCGTTTGCAATTCACTGCATTATTTATTAAAGTTCGATGATTATGTCAAACGGATTATATACTGGGAAGTATTTTGTATTTCAGTTTCTTCTTTGTGTGAACTAAACTAATTATGAACAAATTTAATAACAGTTTAATTTATTTACACAACTTGTAAGTAAATAAATATATATAGTGTATATACGAAGTGGTTTTTTTGATATTCTTTTTAAATCCCTAAATAAATAAACTATTTACTTTAAAACTAACTCTTCTTCAGTATTTCTAAAATGTTAAATCAAACTGTCTAGTTAATATTAGTAATAAAATTTAAAAACAAAAATTTATAAGAATAGTATAGTTGTTATTATCTGTAGATTTATATTGTCTCCTATTGTCCAACCTGAATACGATACTATACTGTTATATGTAATATAGTTAAGATCGATTTAACTTTCTCCAATTAATTTTTATTTTCAATAATATTTTTACAAGCAATACATTAAAATTGAATTCCAACAAATATTTAATAATTTACTTCAAAATTATTTTTCGAAATTAATGACTACATAGACAAGTACTGATGACATTCAAAATAATTATTTAAATTTATTCAGTATCAGAGCCGGAGTGTTCATTATGTTTAGACCTCTTGTGTTTCTTCTTCATGTCATTTTGATTATCTGTATTGCTTTTCGTATCTGATTTATTTGATTTTTCATGTTCTTCAAGCTTGAGCAGTGTTTCCTTCTTTAGACGCTCCAATTCTTCAAGTTCGCGTGCAGTTTTCTCTTTCTCCATGTCATCTTGTCTTTGCTTTTCGGCTCGTTTTTCTTCCTCTTTTGCAATTTCTTTACGCATGTGATCTTTAAACATCTGTAAGGCTTCAGCACGTTTTTGCATTTTTTCTTTTGCGTTCTTATCCTTATCTTCCACATTTGAAGACGTTGATGGTGGTATACTATTTTTCTTTGGCGATGACTTATCAGTTGATTTACGATTTCTATCATCAGACACGGTACGCCGTGGTGATCGAGAGTTTGAACGACCTCTTTTTTGGCGACTAGATCTTGAAGCGCTACCACGTTCCCTACTTCGTTCCTTGCTACGACGACTTGTTTGATCAAACCTCGAACGACCAGAATCGCGACGAGGAGAACGAGTGCGTGATCTCGATTTTGATAATGAAGCTGATCTTTTGCGATTGCGATCACGGGATCGCCTTCTATCCACAGAAGAACGTCTACGAATTGGTGAAAGAGGATAACGGTTTCTATATCTGTCAGCTGAACGAGACCTCCTACGTCGATCCATAAATGGGTTACCGCCACGCCTGCCACGAAAATTACGTCGTGGAGGTGATCTGAAACTTTGATTTCTCATTGGATAGCGATCACGTCTATCACGTATGGGTGAGCGTCGTCGATATGAGCGAGATCGCGAACGCGAGCGTGAACGTGAACGAGAACGTGTACGTGAACGTGTACGAGAACGAGAACGTGAACGAGTCTTAGATCGACCACGATTTCGCGAACGTTCCTCACTTTTTTGTAATTTTTCGTGTTCAGCAATTTTTTCAGTTACTTTTTTAATTTCTTTGTCTAAAGCTTTTTCCATTTCACGTTGCGATAATTTCTCTTTTTCTTTCACATTTTTATCAGCTACTAATAACGACTGTTGAGTATCATTTTCACTCTCTGACTGTTGCTCATAATCGAGTGCATTCATATCCACGGACTTTCTGCGTTTTGATGAAACGCTTTGATCAGTATTATCTTCTTTACGCCGTTTCTCTGATGTTGTCTTATAAGTACGTTGTTTCTCTTCTACATGCCTGTCGCTGGTTTTCTTAGATTTCTCCACCCTTTCTGGTGAACCAATTGTTCCACCATATGTACTTGCATGCGATAATTCGAAAAATGATTTCTTTGGATCCTTAGACATTTCTTCATGACGTTTTTTACGTTCAATTTCACGACGTTTGATTTCCTCTTCGCGAAGTTTCTTCTCTTCTTCCAATCTCTCAAGATCAGAAAGTTTTATGGTACGATTTTGGGCACGCTTCCAATGTGGCGGCGTAATACTGCGGGACCGACTTCGTGAAGGTGTACGAAAACGCTAATAAAAAAATTTAATTTATTCTATATATTTTATTTTGGGTTTGTTATATTCTTACAAATACTCCACGGCCTTTGATAATACGTCCACTACGTGACTTTGGCACACGACTCTTTGACCACCCAAACGCATTTCTGTTATCTCTACCCTTGCTTTCATAGTTATCCTGTCTTATTTCTCTTTCTCGTGAACGGTCGCTTTTTTCTTTACGCAATAGAA